GCATCGCCGTGGAGCGCTCCAGGTTGGATGAAATCAAATGGACACATGAAGGTGATGCTGTCATGAGATCGTTGATATCTAACGTGCCCAACAACATGCTATATTAGCCAGTTCTGTAAAATCTAAAACCTCTCGGTGGGCTCTATCACCAAAGGCATTCCAAGTTATTTGCTGCTTCCTATGCGCTTGGATGTGTAGATACCTTAGCAGCAGTGAAGCTGCTCGCCGCGCATAGTCCGATGGTCAAGTCCAGGATCACATCCCGTCAAAGTCAGCCTGATTTGTACTAGATTTCACTGAACCAGTCTTCTCGCCGGCCTACGCCGGTGCACTTCTTTGATACGGCACATCTTCGCTGGGCAGTCTCAGATGCGGGGCGGGGAGGGCCAAATGTCGAAAAGTTAGCGCTCCTGTCAGATAACATCTGATGAGCGGAGTTTTATGGTATATGTGTATTAAGCGGTGATCTTGAAAATAAAGTCTTTAGGGTGCAGGAACGCTAATGGGTGAAATGAATGGGAAATACTACCGTTCATATGCTACATATCTCGTGAAGTAAGCTATTCTCAAACCTTCATTTTTCTACTTTCTGACGATGGGTACTGGTGAAAGACCTTTACTTGGCTTTGAGATATTGTCAATGCTCTGCTGCCACCTCTAATCCTGCATTTTATTTCAGGTTCTTTGAGGAATATGCTAAACATAATATATCGTTCTGGGGAATGACATTACAAAACGAGCCGACTTCTGGAGCTCTGCCTTTTTACAGATGGCAAACAATGTTTTTCACAGCTCAAATGCAGCGGTAAGAATGAGTTGAGCCACATCAGCGGGCCTCAAGTCACAGAGAGCTTTTTGGGAACGGTTTTCCAGATTTCGGTTTGTGAGAATGCCAACAAGAAAGATACAAAGTACTACTAGACAGCCCACTTAAGACAGCTCCCGCGATAAAAGTGTCAAGGATAATTGCTGATCAATTATGAAACAGTAGCTGATAAGTAATTCCTCAATGAAGGAAAAAAGCAACTCAAGAACACCACAAACAAAATTGCTCCCTTACAGTTACACCGCCCTGCGGTCCGTGGGCAACCCCTGGCTCACAAATCGCTTTATGGCATTTCCCAGTAGTGGACAACATCCAAAGAAAACAATATGAAAAACAACAAAGACACGAACGAAAAACACTTGAAAAAAGGAAAAATTCAAAAACCTGGCGTCCGAATTTGGGGTTACGTGCAGTGTGCAGCTTTTGGTGCATGTCGAGCTTTTGCACCACAGAAATTGCATCACTCGTGATTTTTACGCGTTTTACCTTGCGAGATGGGTTGCAGTTGGCTGCATGTGCTCCTAATGAATAAAATGTAATAAAGGAGAGCAGAATTATTTATGGGCACGAGCGTGGTCAGCAAAAAGGACATGCAATTCCGATTAATGCCCGCCGCCCCAACAAAGAACAACTGAGCGGCTCTCCGTCAGAGGGCAGCTAGCAAGTGGGGCGGTCCAACTGAGCGGGCGTTAGAACTAGAACTTTGAGCGGTTGTAGCTCGCTCCTCGCTCACTGTGGAGCTAGAGTGGGACAGTATCTAGCTTGGGGGCTGAACTACCTGCACAAGGAAGGACGACCATGTACTACTCGAGCGCGGGGGCTGTCTTTAAAGTGTTTTTTTAGTATTCGCATTTACAGACACCAATAAAGTCAGGAAGACGAGAGAGAGAAAAATGAGAAAATCAGTCACCAAATGGAGTTGATCCACGAACTACTTGCCTCTCGCGATGACAGTGCATTTGACGGTCCACCATGCCATCCGATCACTGCGACTGTTCATTATTCAAATCCTTGAGATGCGATGTGGGTGGCTGCGTGCTCCACTCGAACGTGGTAGCGGCTTCACTTTTAGAGAAGTGTTTTCATGTTGGGGCAAGTTTAGTACAATCATTTTTCTGCACAGCACATAACAAGATGTCAGCTGCCTTGAATCGAAATAGCCAACGAAAAACCCATTCCATGCCACGTTCAAGTACGCAGCCACGCCTACCGCGGCTCAGGGATATGGAGGGCAGTGTATGCAACTAATATTGTCGCAATTAATCGGGGCGGTGTCAGGAGGTTTGGAAACTCGCGGCGTTCTCTGCACTGGCTGTTTCCTTCCTGATCGATCACTACGATCACTATTGGTCGAAAACGTAGCCGAGGCTCACTCAACCTTCTGACACCACTCCGTCTGATAGCGACGATACCTGCTGTGAGGACGAGCAGTTACTTTCCTCTTTTCGCTGTACGCAGCTGGCAAGTCTACTGACATGACTTTGAGTTATTTTGTACAACAAAGCTAAAGAAGACTTTCAGGTTAAGTGGGCAGTGGTACAAGTGATATAGGGAGGTCGCCATGACCCCTTCAGTATATTTTCCTCGCTCCTTTTTTGGCATTCCCAGAGACGAGTGAAGATGGATTTCACTTTTGTGGTCTACTCATGTACCTCTATAAAATATCAGGTTGTCCCAAAAGTTCGTGACCTTTTTAGAATCTCGTGCC